ACCATCAAGATTAAACTACTCCTCCTGCAGCAAATCAAATAGTTTCAACTCATTACCTGGCAGAGGAATATGCTTACGAACCCAGCACTCCAATTTATCCCAAATATGTTCTATGGGATTGAGATCGGGACTGTATGCAGGCCAAAGAAGTTGATCGATCTCATTTTCTTCAAGCCAAGTTGTAGTGAAAGTAAAAGTATGAATTTTCGCATTGTTACTTTGGAATAGATAGTTTTTTTCTTTAACAATATTTTCTAAACTATCTAGAAAAGGCAACAAACAATCATGAAGAATCTCAATATAGTCCTTTGAATTCATATTACCAAAAACCCGAACCAAAGGCCCAGGGCTATAGTAACTAAAACACCCCCAAACCATTACACCCTTTCTTCCTGACCTAAACATAGGAACCAAACAATCTGCATTGTATTTTTCTTGGTTTCCTCCAAACGTACGTGCAACTATTCTCTCCAAACACTTCAAACCATGATTTATTACTCCAAATGACATTTTTCTATCTTCTATTCCAGTGTTTTTGTTTTTCAGTCTACTCCAAACGATACAAGTGAGAGGCTTTATTAATAAATAGTTTTCTCTTACCAACCCAGCCAAAAAACCCTTCTTCATAAAGGTGACATTGTACGGTACGTGTAGACACCTCAACAGACATTGATTCTACAAAATTATTTGTCAAAATGTTTAAACTAGCCTTTCTATCACTTTTCAAAAGGCATATAAGGTAGCAGGTACAATATTCAGTTATTTTAGAGGCTGCTTCGGGGTGAGAAAAGGTTTTATCTTTTCATTTTTTTTGTAATAGTTAACAATGTTATAGACGGTGCTCTTTGGTAAATTTAAGGTTTGTATGATTTTTGCTAGCCTCACACCACTTCACCAAGCACTAATAATTTGGGTGTGTTGTTTTTTGGTTAGTTGCTTCTTTTGTTTCATGATAAAAAAAAAAAAAAAAAATTTTTTAAAAAAAAAAATTATAGTCAGACAGACTGGCATCTAGTGTAACTGTAAAAAAAAATTTGGATATTTATGTTAAAAGATTTGTTTCACATAAAATTATTGTACAACGTAAGTTATAACCATCAATTGTATATAATTTTGGAAATTCCAGTGATCACTATCAGGAGAGTATACAAATAAGTGTTACAAGAAAAAAATTTGTTATCAGGCTTTTTTTTTTTAAACTTCGATGATTTTGTCATTAACTTTATTACTTATTTTTAACCGAACATTATATATATTACATACATTTTAACCTATCTAAGTAGTCATCATGACCTTACCTGGCTACCCTATATGGCGCCCAGATGCAACTGTCTGCACTATCTTACATGTGAGATAGACATTCTCAGGTACCTCTATCAAGAAGCACCATTATCGGGCTTTTAATTATATTTTTGTATCGAATATAATTTATTTAATTTGTTAGAGAATATATCCAGTACAAAATATAATTGAAAGCCTAATAACAGATTTTTTTTTTTGGCAAAATTTAAACTATAAATTATTAAATTTCAAAGTTGGCTATTTAATCAAGCCAAGTTGCCAAAATATTTCATTTTATTAATATTTATTATGAATTAATCGCTTATAGTAGTAGTGAGCAACTTTAATAAAAAGATTATAGTCCTTAGACAATTATTAATCATGATTACATGTATTGATATTTCGCTCTAACTATAGAGAGAATTTATAGAAGAATTACTATTATTATTTAAATTTTAAATAATCATCATTATTTAATATTTATTTTAAATAATCGTTACTTAATATTTTTAAAAATGTCATTATTTAATATTTATTCAAATAGATATAATTACATAAATACAACAGTTTCGAACTAAACTCAATTAGCCAATATAACTTAAAAAAACATGATTATAATTGCATAATAGCATTGATATTGAATCATGCAATAAATAAATATCATAAAATTTCTTTAAAACAAATAGTTGCTGAAATATGCCACTGCATGGCATATGTCAGCCAACCATTTGCTCTGACAAACCAAATTCATGATATTTATTCATCACTTGACTAATATCTTTCGCCAATTAAATACCATTCAGATCTAACTACTACAAATAGCAGTTTTTTGAATTTTCAGAGCTTTAGATAATATAAAAACATTTTTTGCTTATCAATTTCAATGCCAATTCCTAAAAATAACAATAACCAACTTGTATATTCTGTTAGAATTCCTCATGTTTGCTGATTTTTTTTAATACGTGAAAAAAAATTTCAAACCTACTTTATCCTTCTTAACACCAATTCCATATTTGTAATAAATGGCAGTTTTTTGAATTCTATTGGGACTACCAGCTTTAGCAGACTTCAGATAATTTGAAAATGCTTTATACATATCTATTAATGCTTTATGAAAATGCTTTTTGCTTATTGATTTCAATGCCAATTCCTCAATAACCAACTTGATATATTCCGTTAGAATTCCTCATGTCTGCTGATTTTTGGTAATGTGTAAAAAAAATTTCAAATCTATATTAGCCATTGCTTTAAAAAAAAATTTTTTTTACATTACGCCTTCCTTTTATAGATCATTCAGAACTCTCTTGTAATCACCTAAGGCAGCTTGATTACAAGTTTTTAAGAACGGATTAGCTGTTGAAGTAACACTTTCAAGAAAAAAACTCTAAAAAAAAAAGTACTTAGCTATATACTATTAGGCTAATAGTAAAAATGTGGCATTAGTAGAAGTCGTCCATGAATCTGATTATATCTGATTAAATTTGCCAGCCACTAGTAAGGCCAAAACCAATATATGCTGAAAGTTATTTGCTCATAAGTGACATATACGGTGACTTGTTATATAAGCAATTATGTTTTCATATAAGGGTACTCTAAAACTAATATAAATAATTGTGTAATGATCGACATTACAGTTGTACTATATTAGCCAATAAAAACAACTTTCCATCATGCTTATAAACAATTTTCATTTTTATACTATCAAATGATATCAATTTGCAAAACTTAAATTCAATAGTTTGTGTAGTTTATCTATATAGTTTTAATAATTAACTGTAGTTTAATTTTTAACTATAGTTAACTAATAGTCTTTATAGTTAACTATACTTATCTATAGTTTGAGTAGTTAACTACAATTAACTATAGCTTCAATAATTTAACTATAGTTCAAGTAGTTGATCTGCAATATGTATCCAGATAATATGGATTACACAAAATACGGATTTTAAACAGTTAATATGGATTGTCGATCAACGGATCACATCTCTAGTAAAGACAAATCACATGAATTGTCTGTTTTAAAAAAGTTATATATATCTCTTTAATGTTTTTGTATTTTCTTGCATTTGATTGACTAAATTTTTTTATTTTTTGAATTTTGATTAGCTAAAATTTTAATATTGAAAAATTTTTTAGAAATTGACCAACGGCAAGAGGTAAGTAAACACACGTAACTTGTCCCATTTTTATCAAATTTGTAACATATCATATATATTTAAGAGCAAATTTATTACTCACCCAGTGTGATGCTTGATATTACTCACCTATATTATGATATCATAAAATTTTACTAGGGTAACCTGTTGTATAATTAATGAAAATGTTCCTCTCGCAATTTTACCCTAACCCTAACCCTAACATATTAATATAGCAGGGTTCTATTTGCATTTAAGTTAAATAAATTATTTCTATATTTAAAATGGTACAGTATCGCAGTAAGAAATATCCACATTTTTTAAAAGCGCCAAATTTTGGGATTTATACTCAAATCTGATTGGCTAATTTTGTGTAACAAACCTCTGATTGGTTAAAAATTTATAGAACCAAATTTTTTATATATTAAACGCCAAATTTTTGATTACATATAAACTTTAAGCTCTAATAACTTTCAAATTTATTATAAAAATAAAATCTACTTTAACAGAATTATAAAAGCAACTATAGTTAGATTTTTTTGGCAATAGAAATGCATGAAAGAATAAGAATATAAATGCGGTTGTGTGTGATTTTGTTATTTGGGTTTTTTTTCGATAAACTTTTGATGCTAGGGGTTTTTTAATTTATATTCGGTGCGGAAAACAGTTTATTTTATATCTTTTCAAGCGTGAACGACGATTTCCATACACCCATGGAAATCAGAAGATTGAATAGTAAACATTAGAAACCGTTTCCTTACTTATTCTGAATTCCTGATTTCCTACGGAGACATGAATGAAAAAACGGCTATAATATAAACAAATGTTGAAATTCACGTTATGGAACATATTAAATCATATGTCCCATATCGCGATTTTCATGGCAAAGACCCAAATAATATTTTCTTTCGCGTCATCGCTTTGTTATGTAATTATTATTTTTTTTATTGATATCTAATATTAATCGATAATTTAATCAATTAATTATTATTATTATTTTATTTGATACGGGATCTTTATTCAATGCAATTTTTTTTTTCATTTACAGCTATTCTCATAAATTCTGGGGCAAACTAAAAATTTTCTCGTTTCCCGAAATCTCTTCGGTTTCGTTCTATGGATCATTTAACTCTTCGGAAAATACATCGCTATTTCCGGAATGAGTTCCGAAGACAATGACGTGATTCCGAAGAGTTAGGTGACCTTTAGGGCGAAACCGAAGAGATTTCGGGAAGCGAACAAATTTTTAGTTTATCCCAAATTTTATGAGAAAAGCTGTAATATATTCGAAAAGAAAAGCCGGGCCGATGTTTTTATCGGCCTGATCGGCTCAAGGTTTTAGCATCGGCCCGTATCACTAGGTATAAATAATAATCATTTTGAAAACAAGGCCGCTAAGTTGTAATAAATTAATTAGCTACAATTTGGTGGCTTCATTTTTTTGTATATTTTCAGTATATTAGCTTTTGAATTATTTTAGTCTTTAAGTATCGTGCACAGTAGCTAGGAATAATATAGAGTCTTAAGAAGACAAAAAAATACTCTAAGCAAATTTCACAACTTACTGACTTGCATCCTACTATACTATTTCCAACTTTCAATACAGATGGACAGTTGATTGCCATCCAGTTTGTGCAAAATTCTGAGTGGATGAGAAAGTCCACCATCGCGATTCAGTGCGTTTGATAATTGGTGGATACGGACACCAGATTCGCTAACAGATGGTGATGTTAATGTATATTCAGTAGGTCTATTTGCCCAGAGTGGGTGATATGGGAAGGGTGAAAACCTAAAGCCTAAAAGCAATGCCGGCGGTTGCTGCGACTGGTGTGGCTATTTGAGTATAGTGGATCGCAGTGAGTAGATTATTGCGCCTTAACATACTTTTTGAATTTAGTTCCATGGACAATAATATATGGAACTAAACTTATTGGCTTGTACATTGTGTTTCCTACGATTTACCGAAGGGGAGTAAAAAGGATAGCATCCAATTTTGAAAAATCAAACTGGATTTTTAATTACACCTGGTTCTGTCCATTGATATCAGTAGTACGGAGGTACAGTACGAACCTTCGATAGGGACAACCTTTTGCTTTAAGGATTGGAATCAGTTTAGTCGACTAAAAAAAAAATTTATAGTAAGCTACTATGTTTAGTCGACTAATTAGTCGACTAAAGGTGTTCTCAAGTACCTCAATCAAGTGATCGGAAGCAAATTTTTAATTAGTCGGAAATTAAATAAATGAATCAAATGAGTTACCATTCCG